AATAAACAAAGAACAAATTGAAAGGAAAGCTTATTAAAAAATGGGGTGGCGGGCTTTACCTTAGCTTGGAGATTTTCGGTTTCTTTAACAAAGAACTGAACCAGAGAACCAGAAAACCCAGGAATGGACAAGGAAGATTGATTGTACGCCGGAGAATTCAAGGGGAACTTGGCTCTCTCAATAAGACTGAAAATGATGGTGTCTTCTTGCCTGATCAATGCGTCTCTCACCGAGTCAAGTGTGATTCCAGTCGAGGAACCAACTCCGAGATTGCTGGGCTCTGCTTCCACCATATCGTACCTACACACAAGGTGAGATGAGAAACAGAGAAAAACCAGCATTAACAGAGTCATTTTCAAATTGAAGACGCAAGAAGAAACTAACCTAATGTTGGGGTTTTAAATGGGAAACGAAAGAAGTCAAAAAGTCGGAGAGAAAATCTTGATAAAAGATGTGGTTCTGCTTCTCTTCTTAAAGGGGTAAGGAAATCAGGACAATATGGAAGGAAGATGGCGAGGGGGTTGGGACTTATACGCCGTTACGCGAAGAGGCCGCTTCAATTAAGGCTTAATGCGTTAGTAACGATTGACGCGGTTAGTAACTTTATCCACAAAAAAGCCAAAACGTGTTACTTAACGGGTTAGAGTCGCGTGTCGTGGTCAACATTAGCAGTTTTATTAAATTGGAGGGACCCAGCAAAACTTTTCTTTTAAAAGAGGGAAAATTACATGGGTGGTACTTGTCATTCCAAACATAGTTCTATCAAGTCTATAGTTTTGATTATTATAATCAGGCCTCTAAACTTATTCAAACGATCTAAGAAGATCCCTACACCATCCATGAAGCTCTTAAATATACAGCCAAAATTACTGGCTACAACTCCAAGGATTAAAAAGAGAAACAGGAAATGCAACACCAAACCTGCAAGTTGCTTTCTTTCTACACTTAAATCTATTTATTGATTTTTCTAATCTCTCATACCCATTGTGGAGATTTGAGCGTGTTCTAATGATACAATTTTCTCAGTGCAAATTCCCGAAAGAGCGGCATGAAGATTCAGAAACATGCTGTGAAAGAAGCCGTGCAGTTTCTTTCCACCATGAAATCTCTGTTTCTTTATCGCGGAGCTTGTGTTTGACGCACCCCAGAGCAGCCTCTAGCTCTCTTATCTGTTCTTGCTGTCTAGCTTCCAGCAGTTCGTGCAATTTTCTCTCCAGTTCAAATGGAGGAATTCCAGATTGTGATTCAGAGCAGTCTTCTTGAATATCGAATCCAGCATCAATCACTTCTGAGGAGCTGAAACTGGTTCTTGCAGAAGTATTCTCCTCCATCACCTGTAATGGATAATCAACGTTCAAATTTTCATTTCATCAAATAAAAAAAAACCCATTTAACATCTAATACCTTTATGCTTTCCTCCTGCGGATTACCCAAGAATTTCTCAGCATCCAAGCGGAGTTGCAAACGTTCTAGCTCCATTTCAAGTTCTGCTTCGAGTTGATTCATTCCCCCAAAGCAATCTTCCGGTTTGGACACATCAGATTTCAAAGACTGATCATCGGATACAACATGATCTGATGGTGGAGGAATTTGGGTGTTAGATTCTGGACCTTCTGGGGCCGCAGCATCGGATGTGGAATATGCAAATATTTCATTGGTTTCAGGAGTATTGGTGAGTTCATCTTTCCTTTGCGATTCCAGTTTTACATTCTGGAGAATCATCTCCATTTGCGCCCGCAACTCCATCATCTTGTTCAGTTCATTTTTATTTGCGGCAACCAGATATAGTAGACAACAACCAATTCCTAAATTGAAAGAGTTCTCTCTCCTACATCTTTCTGCCGTATCTAATTCAAATTCAAATTAATCAAAACCTAGATCAGATTTCAGAATCAGCCAAACAACATTTTTATTAAAATCTCCAATTACTAGAATCTAAACTAGATTTGCACTAATCTAAACCTAGATCAATCTTACGCTTACCTGATGGCGAATCAAACGCCGGAACCAGAGATGACGAAGAATCCTGACCGTCGGATCCATCATTTCCTCTCTCGCTCTCGATCTCTTTTTCTCTCCTCCGTTTACTCCACCTTAGCCCTTCCAATAGCCGCCCTAGAATCCGGCGAGGCAAGGCGCAGTCTGACCGGTTGCGGTCGTCACCCTTCATCAAAATCAGAGCCTCCTCTTCCTCGTCTTGAAGTAGAAGTACATCTGCGATGCGTAAATGATGAGGAGTTTCGGATTTGAACAAGGGTTTAATGGCAATCTTCATTGGGAGCGAGATTTATGGTGGAGCCAGAGAAGAAATTAAATGAACTGAGCAAGAGACAGGGTGGAGCGTTTGCAATGCGGAGGAATTTGGAGGGAAGTTTCGATTTTTGGAGATTTTGCAATTATTTACTCTCAAAGAAGTGGTACAAACTAAATAAAATAGGATTTAT